CTCTATGTGCATTAGAATAACCAACATTTAACATTTCTCCCTACTATAAATAACTTATATATCAATGGAAAAGCAAAATAAAGTTACCAAACCCACTGACCAAATAGATAAACGATGATGTACAAATATCCGTGGCAATAGTTGTGATACACCGCCATCTAGCGGTCGCTTAGTGATATAGCACATTACATTACATGCAAAAAATACTTCTTAGAAGGAAATTTGTATAATATGACTCAAAGAAATAATACATTGTACATTAATATAAATATATATACATTGAATAAACTTTGAACTAACCGGACAAGCTGTTCAATAGAGTCAAGCAGTGTCAGTGTGCTTAGGAGAGCTATTAGTCACCAAGCTGCCATCTGATCCGCTCACCGACCCCTGGCAGAATGTCAGCCGTCTGAGGGGCCTGCCTGTGGGAAAGCAACACCCCCCTGTCCCCCGGTTTCCTCCAACTGAACCAGAACACGTCAACTTCCCCTGCAGCGGCGCTCTCCCCTGCGTTTAAGTTGAGTTGTTGGTGAAAGTTGCGGTGAAGTTTGTCTACAGGGACAACATGCGCTCCTTAGCGGGACTAGCTGTCATTGTGGCGGCGGCGAGCGTCTCCCTCTACCTGCTGTCCAAACACCTTCCCCCGGGACGGAGCCAGCTCCAGCTGCAGGAGGGCGAGGCCGAGCAGGAGAACAGGTAGAGGCAGAAATACTGCATTTAGATTAAAGCCTTTATAGGACACTCAGTGAAATACTTTAAAAATCTAAATTTCAAACCAATAGTGTTATTGGAATACAGGTCAAGATCTTATTACCTTTGTAACATTCAAAAAATATGGATATTTTGAGGAAAAAATTATGTCAATGTAAAAACAAGAAAAGCCAACTTGCCCGGATATATTAAGAATTATAATAAAAGTGCTTCTATAAGAAATTCATGAAAAACACTCTGACAGTAAAAGAAACACATTTTTTTTGGTATGGCATAACCTTACAGTGGATGCATTAATGCTGATACTGGAACTTACAAAGCTAAATATAATTGTTAACTAAGCTTATTAACTTTTGAACTTTACTTTTTAACTTTTCAATTAGTTTTTTTTAGCTTTTTTCTCGACTTTTTTTTTCCAACTTGATTTACAGTATTTAATATATCATTCAAGGGTTCATCTAATTGGTCAAATGCCAAAATAAGATGTACAGCCATGTAGCAGCATCTTTGCTGAATGGCTGGATATAGATCTTGTGCTTCAATATCTCACCGAGGGATGGGGGGGTATGCAAGTGATCAAAAACTGTATCTTGCCCTTTAGAGGATTAAGCAGACCTGAATGGGGAAAAAATCTTTCTTTGCATTTTTAATGTAATTCTAGAATTGAAGCATCCATCTACTAAACGTTTTCCTTTTTTAATTTAAAAAGATCTTCATGGCCATAATAAATAACCATATATTGCCACCAACACTGAAATAAAAAAACAAAAAAAAAACATCAGATATAAGCTTAAGATTAATATTTTAGCAGCTTGAGGTAAAGTATTTTGATCTCTAGGTTTGGGTTTGTATGAGATTATTACATTATTTTAGAGTTTAGAAATACAACAGTTAGCTTAAGAAAAAAGGTCAAACCAAAACGTACAACATGATCTATTTGCTGTTTTTGTTAAACAGAATTACAGAAATCCCTCTAAATTCTACAAAAATAATCAAGTACATTAATTTTTATAGTTTATAGTCTGAAACTTGATTGAGAGACCCAAAGACAATGCCTTGTAGAACAGGGTTATCTGGTATCTCAATGTATTATGAAAAATGTTTGCTTTTTTTGAAATCGTATCATTTCAAGCAGCCCTGGTCTATCGTAACAGTTGAAGTTTTTACTTATTTTCTTCTATCAACTCATTTTATTTGTTTGGAGGAAATAAAAAAAGTCTTTTAATGACCACTTCTCTATTTTAAGCACAAGGGGACTTCCAAATGTTAGAAAACCTCAACGTAAGTGACCAATAATGGATGTTTCCCCGATGCTTGAGAACTGGATAGTCTCCAAGTGGAATAAATATTCTAATAACATAATAATAATAATGTACATTTATTAATAGAGTTGAACTTTTATAGTCTTGTGAAAGAACATCTTTTAAATTGTTAGACATTTTATTTTAGTCCAGTCTTGGCCTATAAGGCAGATTACCATGAGCTCATGTTGAAATGTTTTCACAACATGAGTTCCTGGAGCTTTTTTAATGAACAGAAACTAGAGTTGGAACGCAATGTTCCTCTGAGTGCATACCAAACACTCATCAATAGGCACATGTTAATAGGAAACATCTGTTCTCATGAGGTGTGTACCTTTTTGGTAAAAACATTGTTTTTGTTTCATTGATCCACTAATGAAGCACTCACCATCTGACAGGATGTGAGTCTATTTAGTTAAAGTTGACTGCACGTCATCACTGGGTGAGTTTAAATTTACAGTCAAACGAGGTTGCATAGGGATGATAGAATAACACTGAGGCAGACACTCTGAGGCCAAATGCATGAAGTATTCCTGTGTGTGTCTGTTTGTATGCTTGTATCCAGTGATATGATAGTACTCACAATATACTATTACTCATTGCTCATGTTTAAAATAAAATTAACATGACTGATTTGTGTGTGTTTGCATCTTCTTCATTTACTTTTTTAATTTTTTTTATTAAACGGAACAACAGAATTAAATAAAAAAGGCTTGAATCTGATTTGTGGGTAATAGACTTTAGAAGTGAATCCCCATCTAAACATTCCACCAGCTGTGTGGGTGTGTGTGAATGTTTTTTGCTGAGGCAGAACATCTTTTATAGCAATAGTCGTAAGCAGATTTATAACTCTCCCTCCTCGAATACTGTACATACGTCCACTGAGTTTCACGTGTCGGGGTGTTTCCACGTCACCTTCCTGTAGACCAGTGAGAGAGCTGGATGTTTGTCCTCTGACCAGTGAAAAGGAGCAACGCTGGATGTGAAAGCAGATGGCCCAGGAAGCCGGCTACTTGAGTTTCAAGTTGAGGGGGGGTTTGGACAGGGGAATTTTTTTTTTGCTGTGTGGGTTTTCCAAAGAGTCTTCTAGGTCTCTCCTCTAGTATTCAAGCAGTGATGCTATTTCTATCTTTAAATCAACTGTATCCAGTTACTTTTCCACTCGGAGACATACAAGATGATCACTTTTTCTTTTATAGTTTTGTTTTTACAGGTTTTGTTTTGCCTTGGTTCAAAGTTTGGCCCTGTTTGATATAGTGGGAATTCAAAACTGAGATTAAAGGCATTGTATAGTCTAGATTAAGGATGCACCAATAAAAGCATTTGAGCCGATGTCACACTTTTTACAGAATGAATATATAGCTGACATAGCCTCTCTGTTTCAGTTAAAGACTTTCCAGCCCTCCCTGTATCTATATCACTGTCACCTGCCCAAACAAATTCCACATGGCCAGCCACCTTCTGAAAGAAATACATAAACAGAAACACATCACCAACAGATACTGATATGTAACATTGACTGATATTGATTTTAAAGATGATACAGTAACTTTGATAGTCCAAAACAATTTTGTTGTCATTTCTGAATTCTTTAGAGGAGTAAAAAAAACTTCACCACTAGATGAATGATTGAGCATTGTCTGTAGAGCAAAATAAGATGTGTGGCAAACCATTACAAACCCACTCTTAACCCTATCTTATTATTAACCCTACTCCCTTAACCCTACCTTATTATTAACCCTACTTCCTTAACCCTACCTTATAATTAACCCTTCTCCCTTAACCCTACCTTAT